CACACTTTTACATGTTCTTACATAAGAAATTGACACACACAATTTAAATTTCATAATTCTATTAATAATAACACAGCTAGTTGTATTATTTTTTTATTTTTTTTACAAATTTAATTGAGTAATGTTAGAGACCCTAAATATTCTACCAAAAGTTTTACCAAATGTCTCACATGAGTGTGGGACCCAAACAATGTGGGTCCCATGTGGGTCCTACACCCATGTGAAACATTTGGTAAAACTTTTAGTAAAATTTTTAGGACCTCTAGCATTTTTGAATTTAATTATATAAGAGTCAATTCTATTGCCATGTCATTATGGATGAATTGTAAAATTTAAATTATGAATATCTAGAATTTTTTATAAATAAATATTACAAATATTTTTTATACATAAATTAAGATCAATAATCATTAAGGCCATTAATATGTTTAAGACTTACACTAACACTCCCTCAACTATTAGCGAATATCACCTTTACTTCATTTATGAATCAGTACATATTAATGCCTCAATTATGACAATCGTATAAAAACACATCTTTTGAAGGTGGTATAAAAGGGTCTGTGTGCAATAAAAGTAGGGGTGGACACCTCAGGTAAGACTAGGCCGGGTTTGGACTGAGCTTGGACAATTAATATAGTAAAAGGATATGTATCATTCTAATGTTAGCTCGGCCCGATGTCGAGTCTAATTTAACCATCCTAAACTCAATCCTCAAAACATTTCAAATCTCAAACTCGTCCACTTAGCCAAATAGATAGGAGCTATTAATTTTTTTTTATTTTTTATTTTATTTTTGTCTTGAATGGATATTAAATTATTTAGATTTCATTTATTATTTAAATTTGAAATATTAGCAAAATTCAATAATAAAATTAATATATTTTTTACCAAATGTTTTAAAATAAACCTAGAATATATATATACATTTATTAAATTTTTTATACATTTTTTCTACTTTAATTTATAATTAAAATAATATATAACTATAATTTTTATATTATAAATTTGCAGATTGAGTTCGATTGGACTATAAACTCTCTCTCTATCACAACTGCAAACCAAGTATTAAATCAGCACAAAATCTCAATTCAGCCCTAGGCTTTTGGGCAAAACAATTTTTTCATAATCTAAAAATATCAAATTAGGCTAAACTGATAGTCACTCCTTGATATATTTTTGTAATTTAAATAGGTCAAAATATATAAATTTATAAATAAAAATATAAAATACAAAATAAAATTTATTAATAATCAAGAGAATTTTGATATAAATAACTAATATTAACGGTTGACACAATTGATGCGTGTGTAATTCAAATAAATAAAAATAAAATAAAATATTTATTATATATTATATGCTAGTCAAACAGTAAGAGTATTATTCATTTGACATAAATCTAAGGTTTAAATCCTCACATTTTTTTTAAATAAAAAAATAGACACGTAATAACATAAAAAATCAAGATTTCAAGTCATCATAAGAAATATTCACTTTATATATTGTATAAATATTTATGAATATGAATTATACATAACATAATAATTTTGGATTAACGGTGTCTTTATTATTTGATACTAGTTTTGCAGACAACTAGGCAAAGCACCCAACCCAACCGCTTTATTGAGATTTCACCATTTTCTCCTCTGAAATGACTCTCTTCTCTCTCTCTCTCTCTCTAGATAGAAGATGTACGGATGCCTCTCTCCGTATATCGAGTTGATCGTTTACGAGTAATCGGCCTCTGCAAAGGTATGATTTTTCAGTAGAAATCTTCAACATCGTCACCGATCATCCTTTCATTATCTGTTACCGTGAAATTTCATGTTTTTTCATATAATTTTCTTATGTGCCTTTTTATTCGATTGTGTTCTTGTTTAATTTGTTCATCGATCGTATGATCATTATATATTTTCTCATTCTGATTTGCATTTTTGGTTGATCAATGGTTTCTTTTGAGAAACTTCGTTTCTGTGTAGCGTGAGATGTATATATATGTGTGCGTGTGTGTGTGTGTGTTCGTCCTGTTTTAAGACTAGTTTTTTTTTTGTTACAAGTAACGCTTTTGAAATCTACATGGGATTGGTTGAACCTAGTTTGAGTAAGAGGATATGCTTCGTTTCTGTTTTCTGCCCCATTTTCTCTAGTTCAGATTAAACAAGAAGCTTAGAGCCTTTATGGTTTTTTTTTCATTGTTTTTGTCGTAATTTTCTGTGTGTGTGTGTGTGTGTGTGTTTTTTCGAATATTATAAATAATGATGTACGCCTTGGGGCAATACAACTTTTGATCAATATTATTCAGTTTCTCTTTGGGAATTCATTTATTCCTTGTGGATTTAAGGTGTTCTTCAACCTGCTAGAATGATAGCTAGTCTCGTGTTAAATTTCCACTCTGTCACTTAGAATCGTTGGAATGAATTTGGCATGTGTTTGAAGCATGAAACCAAAGCTTTTGATTGAAACACAATGAGATCTTCGCCTGCCATGGTCTTTTCTTGTTGAGAATTGAACAAACAAGTATAGGTCTTATACTGCATGTACAACATCATATCGTATGCCCTCTTTAGATGGGATTGAATAGCAGAATGTGGGTGAGAATAGGGACCTAGTCATCTTATAAATCAGGAGTAATCCTCAGTCCTACTCATTGTGGACACTGTAGAAAAAGCCCTTGTCACGATCCTCCATCCTTATCTTACACTTGGAAATGGTGTAACTAAGGTGTACCTTTATCCCATGTAAAACCAATCACTAGATGCTTGATGGGATCACTGGTATCATGGTATGCCTTAATGCACCAAGCAACAATCTATCCATTTTTCCATAAAAGAAAATCAATTAGCATATTGGTCCACATATGGAAAATTCTAACATCTAGTTGGCATCAGTTTTTCTTTTATGCCCTAGCTTTGTGTAATTAATTGTCCTCATGGCTTGACAATGTCCTTCTTGGCATGCATTTTATTGCAGCTGGGAGAAGGACTAGTATACGAAGCCGTAGATGCCTCAAACGTCTTTCCCCATTTCTATGGTCCATCTCGGAGTTTCAGTCCTCTCCCTTTGGATGCAGTTACAAAAGCAGAGAAGCTTACTTTATCAGGTGGCCAATTCAGTTGTAGTTTGCTAAGTTGAATGGCAACAAGTTTTGTCATTCATCTTTGTGTCTCTACCTGATTTGGTGTTAGTTTAAATGGGCAGATTTGTCAGTGTTTGTCATTACATACTGCTGCCCAGATTCAAGGTTCCACTTGGCAATTTATTGTCTCTGTGTTGATTGTGTTGTTAATGTTGTTCAAGCTTTCAAAGATTCTGTTAGGCAATCCCTCTATATGTTTAAGCCGCTTCATATTTTTAAGCATGGAATTAAACAGCTAGTGGTTCATGGAGTTTGGCATTTAGATCGTTTTTAATCAATTATTGATGCATTTTTATTTTTTCTATTTTGGAAGATTGTTTGTCTCGGCAGCTATTGCCCTTGCCTAATCAGTCTGCATGCTCCGTGAAATCAATTTACTTAAATAGTTAACAAGGATTTATTGTTTCATCTTCGCATTGAACTTCATGATTTTTATTGGGTAGATAATATTGTTAGCAAAAATAATATCTGGTTACCTGGAGGCTGTGCTGTGTTGTCTGGTGCTTTAATGAGACGTCCAATAAAGCTTACTTCTCGTTTCAATTTGATGAAAATGTAAAACTAATTTGCATCTCCAACCCTTTCACCAAATCTAGATTGTGCTTAAAATGATTTGGATTGACTGGATAAAGAGAGATGCAATGGCTATGCAGTAAAGAATGGTGATTTGGTTGCGGTGGCAGGTGGTGGTGGTGATTTGATTGCCACCATTGGGGTCATATATCAAATGAAGTTTTTGGTCCAAATTCTTACTCAAGCTTGATGAAAAAATTGATGAAGAATTACAGGCCATGTTTGATTTGCATTTGTAAAACAATTTTGAAAAATATTTTTTTTGAAAACGAGTTTACAAAATTAAAAATTTTATGTGGTTGTATGTTTTGAAGATAGTTCAGGTGTTGTAGAGTTTGTGATCATTTAATTAATTAATTAATTTATTTTTTGTAGTTGAATAGATAGGTAGGTGTTAGAAATATAGTGATTGAATGATGTGTAGAATGTGAGAGAAGGAAAGAGAAGAGAGAAAGTGTGATTTTGGAATTTTTTTTTTCAAAACTTTTCAACCGAACAAAATTTTAAAATATTTTCTCAAAAATTATCTCTCAAGAGATGAACCAAACAAGGTCACAATGCTCTTAGGCCAGGTTTAGTTGTTGGATTAGTTGGGTTTGGGTTTGGGTTGGGTGGAATTATGAATATGATGTAATTGGGTAATGAGATTATTAATATGATAGTATTTGATTGGAGATGTATGATAAATTGGGTTGGTTTGGATATTAATATGGTGTTATTAGTTAATTGAAATTAAAAGATTTTCATTATATAATAGTTGACTTCATTATTTCGGTACAATTAACGTTCTCGTTGGTGTTGGGATTGCTAATCTAATCTCATTCCATGGGATTGAAAAATTTTCATTTGCACATCAAAAAAAAATTTCAGCATACACTATTTGTGTCGGATATAAATTTTGAATAAAAATTAAATATTTTGACATAAACTTTCAAATAAAAATGATTTATTCACATATACATTTGGTATTATTGTTTATGTTTGAACAAGTTTTTTTTTTTATTATTTTTTTTTCTCCTAGAAATTAATGTCTAAACATTAGACTTTTGTTCAAAAATTTATCTAAACTGCACAAATAACGTGTACTGAAATTTTCTGTGATGGAAGGATCATATAGTAGTGATAATAATATTGATAAATTTATTAAAATTTATTAAAATAATAAATAATTGAAAATTTTTAAGTTTTGTTTGTGAATTTTGATTAATTTTTAATTCATTTGCGTCAGTTTGTACTGATTTAAAAAAAAAAAAAAAATTCTGAAAAAATGAACTGACTCATTGTTGTCATCTTCGTAATCCTTCCTCAAAAAAAAAATAAAAAACAAAAAAAATCATCGTAATCCCTCTGTAATTAAAAAATAATAGCAGCAACAACCCTAATCACCATGAACGCCAAACAACCCTGAAGAAACTGATGAGGAATATGGCGGCAGCGGCGGATGATGATATGATGATGACAACATTGATGGGTTGAAGAAGGAGATTCGGGTTTTCTTTCACAAATTTTATGGGAAGAAGGCCGGGAAAATGGCGCAAGAAAAGCTTAGGAAGATTACATAAAAGATTTGATCCTTTTTTGTTTTTGTTTTTGTTTTGTTTTGAGTTTTTCTACAGCAGATAACTTTGTGTTGAATTTTCAGTATTATATCTATGCCTAAATCAAAGGGTAGGTAAGTGGACCTTATGTTGCATGAATCTTGTTTAGATATTTCAATTATGGGTAACATTGTCAATAATAAACTAGTTTATTTTTTTGTCTCTTCCTTTCCCAATGGTTTTCAAGCTGATAACTTTAACCATAAATATATGTTACATTGAAGTGGGTACTGTTGAATTTTGTGGCTTCTTAATTCTTGGTGATCTAGTTCCAAACAACTTTGCTACATATTCTTATTAAATTATTAACTTTTGTAACAACTACACATATGGCTGTGGACCTCACACTAATGCGTGTAATTTGCAAATAAATTATTTGTTTAGTAGGGATCTCTATCGTTTTTCAATTCCAAAACTGGAGCATATACTTTTGGCCGAGACATTCATGTACATTTTTTCCCCCAAGCTGGGTGCCTCAAGCCAATGCCAAAAAGGTACAATGTGCAGCATATTGCATTACCTCTTTGATGGGTTTCTACTTGGGCCTATTAAGGTTAATTTTGCGTTTGGATCAATGATTTGATGAGAATTTGTAAATAGAAAGGAAAAGAGAAGGGTGCGCAAGTTTCTTCACAACAAATTAATTGCTTTGTGCAAAGAACTAAGATCTGAGAAGAAATGCTACAGCAGTGTATGCTGATATGTAAGTCTGTAAATTTCTTGTACATAAATTTTACAGACTGATGTGCATTGAATACCTGTCACATGAGTTTCAGGGAAAAATGTTTTGTTACTATATAACACTACTCATACAGAAAAGTTGACTTCTTTTAATTACTTCAGCCAGCCAGCCAACCAGACAGATTATAGCAAATTGACTTAATCATGTTGATATAATATATGTATATTTAAATATCTCGGTCAACTGTACCATTGATGATGCAGATTAGGTATCGATTATAGATCTTGATATCACAAGTAAAGACACTGTTTAGGTAAAACAAAAGATGGGTCATAGAAGATTATCTCATCGACTGTTATTGTTTGTGTTGTTTGGTACATTAGCTCTCTCTGTTTCCAGCCAGAAGAGACCGATACTAGTGAACTTTGGCGATTCCAATTCTGACACTGGAGGAGTACTTGCTGGGACTGGACTTCCCATTGGCCTTCCTCATGGCATCACCTTTTTCCACCGAGGCACAGGCCGCCTTGGTGATGGGCGGCTCGTGATTGATTTCTTCTGTGAGTCCAATATCTCCCAACCACAGTCTCTTCTATTATCATTCAATCTCCTCCTCTGAATTGTCCTCCTGTGATTTCTTCTGCTCTTTTATGTTTGCTTTTCTTTAGCTGCTGCTCCTAATCTGATATGTTCCAGTTGTTGTTGTTGTTGTGTTTTTTTTTTAATTTGATTTGATTTTAGGTGAACACCTGAACTTGAGTTTCTTAAGTCCATATCTGGACTCACTGGCGCCTAATTTTACAAGTGGAGTAAACTTTGCAGTAAGTGGAGCATGCACTCTACCACAGCTTGTCCCATTTGCACTAGATGTTCAAGTTCGGCAGTTCATCCGCTTTAAGAACCGCTCACTCGAACTCCTGTCAATGGGTAATGTTGATTTGCAGCTTGCGCCATTAAATGTCTAGAAATATTAGATGTTCAAGTTGGGCAATTCATATTAGATGTTGAGGTCCTTGCTTTTTTCTTGTTTGATGTCTAGAAAAAAAAAATATATATATAGGTGTCATCTATGATATGAAGCATGGATACTCTAATGGTGTGTTTGGTTGGGGGATTTGGGGAGGAAAAGAGAAAAGGTGTGTGAAACTATGTGAAATATATATATATATTTTATTCACATTTCACCTACCTTTTCCATTTTCCTTTCCAAATCCCTCTCCAAATCCCCCAACCAAACACAGCATAAAAAAGAGTTGTATGCATATTGTATCTGTATTGAATATCCATATTCCTTGGATTCTCACGGATACATATCCGATACTTGATAATAATTTTAAGAGCTATCGGATACTTTTTAGGCATTTTACGTTCTATATCCAAACTATTTTTTATTTTTATTTTTTTAGGGAAGAAGAAAATAGTGAGATTAAAATAGTACTCTACATTTTCAAATCTAATTCCTAAAATATGGTTTCTCGCTATTCTTTGAGCTCATGTATAATATAATATTAAAAATTATGATGTTTTTTTTGTTTCCCTTTCAACATGGCCATACCTGTATCCTAGTTTTAATGGTTTTGTCGTATCATCGTATATGCCATCAAGTATCTTTTTGCGTAGGGTGTCGTTACTAGAAAAATGTCCTTTTTCCGTTCCATTTTTGCCCATTTGTCGTCACAAATAATACCTTTTGCAATGGCTTGACTGGTGATCGCAAATAAATGATATTTGCAACGGCTTATTGGTGTCCATGTTGGTGACACCAATATCACTTCCTGCCACCACCATATTGGTGTCTACCTTTCTACCGACGCACGGCAGTTGCAAAAGGGCTTTTGCAACCGCCCGCTCATTGCAAAAAGTGATTTTTCTAGTAGTATGTCATATAAGTTAATGCAAGCTTTGAAGCAGCAGGTTCAGGAAATTTCATTGATGAATCTGGATTTCGTAGTGCACTTTACATGATTGATATCGGAGAGAATGATCTTCTACTTGCCTTGTACGCATCAAATCTCACCTATTCACCAGTTGTAGCAAGGATCCCATCTTTTCTTGCAGAAATTAAACTAGCTATCCAAGTGAGTACTGTCTGGCATTTTTTGACTTTAATATGGCAAAAATTAATCTTTGCTTGATTAATTCTCTACAATTTTGTTAATTGGTTCGAATGCAGAATATTTATCAGTATGGTGGTAGAAAATTTTGGATACACAACACTGGACCTTTGGGTTGTGCGCCTAAAGAACTTGCTCTGCATCCCCACAAGGAGAGTGACTTGGATCGGATTGGATGCCTTCGTGTTCATAATGATGTTGCGAAAGCCTTCAACAAAGGACTTCATAAGCTATGCAAAGAAATGAGATTAGTATATGAGGATGCAACAATTGTGTATGTCGATATATATGCCATCAAATATGGTCTCTTCGCCAACTACAAACGATATGGTAAGAAGAAGATCAAAGTGTCGCAATGTAAACATGAATAATGGAAATTTTGCTTTTTGTTTTTGTGTTTTTTTTGGGGCTCTAGTTAATGAAACTGTTTTTTTGGCATAGGTTTTGAGGCACCATTGATGGCTTGTTGTGGGTACGGAGGGCTTCCAAACAATTACAATGTGAAAGCAACATGTGGGCAACCTGGTTACAGCATCTGCAGAAATGTCTCTCGGGCCATAATATGGGATGGAGTTCATTACACTGATGCTGCAAATCATGTTGTTGCGACGAGCATCTTGTCTGTGCGCTATTCCACACCCCCGGTAAAGCTTGAACAATTCTGGCCAGCTTGATTTTTGACTAAAATTTGCAATTTGTGACCTTTATTTTTATTTTATATTTTTTGTTTTTGTTTTTAGAAGATCATGAGTTTGACTCTCTTCCTTTCCTCTCTAATACTAGCATAAAATCCATGCTACGCACGGCCTTGAATAAATACTGTTACCCAAAAACAAAAAGAGAATTGGACATGCCTAATTAAAAATTTCATAGTTTAAATTTGTGCATTTTGTCATTCGTACCTCCCTTGAATTCTCTCCAATTAAACTTGGTGTAAGACAGGACAAAAAACAAAAACAAAAAAGAACTCTAAAACTTTTTTTTCTTTTTTTGTTTTTGTTTTGCATAAGATAGGATATTAGCGAGTTAATAATTAGATTGCCATGCAGTGTAATTCCTCTCTATAGACTCAAACTTAAGACTTTACACCGGCAACTGAGTATCCTCTTGAGATCACTTAGACTTGAGTCCAAATATAACTCTCAAATAATCACAAGAGATGGTCATTGCAGAGGTCAGAAACCATTATTTTAAAGACACAAGTTAAATTTGTTTATTTCAGAAATCATTGCTGACAAATATATTTATTTCTTCTTTTTGTCAATTGATAGAAGATGGTTTACAAAGAGACTTCACACATTCAATTATTATTTAATATATCAATCATCAAATGGCCTACCACTTAGTCAATGGTTGAGATTGAAAATGATGCATCTTCCTTTTATTTTACAGGTGTTTTTGTCTTTGCCTTACAATTCCTCAATAATTTCCAGGTGCTATGATTTATGAGTGAAAATAAACTTCTGTGCCAGACAAAATCATTTGAATGCAACCCCAACACTAAAAAAAAATGTTACAAAGATAATGAAAATTGCAAAAAAAAAAAAAAAAAACTCTAAAATTTTATATCATCTTTGGATATTGAATATTTTAATGAAGTAAATTTAACTTCTTTTGCTCTATTTTCTCTTCAAATACATGATCAAAACATAGGTTCGGAATTTTCATATCAGTTGTGCTATGAATATAGAAGATTTTCACAAAATGAACACAGATTATCAACATATTTTCTTGTGAGACATGAACCTGAGTGGGCAATTTTTTTTCAGTTTCTTTATGCTGTGTTTGGTTGGGGGATTTGGAGAGGGATTTGGAAAGGGAAATGGAAAAGGTAGGTGAAATGTGAATAAATCATGCCTATATTTCACATAGTTTCACACACCTTTTCCATTTTCCTTTCCAAATCCCTCCCCAAATCCCTCAACCAAACACACCATTAATGATAAAAAGAATGGATCGGTGTCCTGACTAGAGCTTGAAAGTATTGAATCATGCACTCAGAAAACAAAGGATGTGATGTTTCAAGAGACTGTTTTTGTATTTTTTCGTTTTTTCTTTCTTTCTTTCTCAAATGTCTCTTTGTTTGTCTTACATGAAAATCAGAATTTATAATTTACAGGTCAATAATTCAATGAAAGCCAAAATAAGGGCATTGACCAAAAAAGTGTCTCTATATGGAAAATAATAATGCCCACTTTCTCTTTTTCAATTTCTTTGATGATTGCTCTACTTCTTTGCTTGCTGTGAGCATCTCTGTCAAGAAGAAAGCTATTTTATCAGGATTAGTTAATTCCTAGGCCAAAAAAAAAAAAAAAAAGATTAATTAATTAATCATCTCGTGGGTATGTTTGGAGTGAAGTTAATTTTTATTTATTTATTTATTTGTTCAATTGTGATGGGTACCTCTCTTTTCTTTTGCCTCTTCTACCAAAATTCCACCAATTCAAATGAAGTACTTGGTTACAAGTCTTTAATAAATAGATTTTGAAAATTAAGTTGATTAATGTAAATTCCTTAAAACTAGTGTTTGATTAAATGATAGTTTGTGAGCACTATGAAGCAAACATTTTTCTATGTTTGAATTATGACGACAGTGAAAAATCCAGATAAAAATAAAAAGACTATATTTTAAAAAATGAATAGAGAAACAAATATCCCAATAAAATGGTTCTTTGAAACTCTGTATTATAGCAAGAAAAAGTTTTGTAGTGTTTAATGAAATTATATGATTATGAATATTGAATCAATTTGATTTTTTATTATTCCTTTATATTATAAATGATTTATTCATATAGTTAAACAGAATAAAGTGTTCAAAATGGTAGTTCACTTCAATAATACCCCTAATTCTCTCCATGTGTGTTTGTGTGGAGGACAACATAAAAGAGGCGTGGTAAGGTATCTTTAGAATCTAAAAGTGATTGATTTGCCAAACACTTTTGATTCCAAGTGATGATATAGAGATCTAATTGGAAGTCCTTTTCTTAGTAGTTTACTTCCAATCTTTCTATCTTTTCCATCTTCTTTAGTTTTTGTTAATTTTTCTTTTTATGTTAGTGGTGTTTGGAATCAAAGCAATTATTAGAATGACATACATGATATGTTGATGGTGCTGGCAAAGTAATGAGGACTCGATTTTTTAATCTCAAATTATGGTCCAAAAGTGTGAAAAAGCAATAATTGTAGGTGCACAAAATTAAAATACAGAATATATATACGAAAAATATATTGTGTAGCTCGTGAATGTGATACAAATTATATTTAAAATAGTTGTAATGACAAAAAAAGTGAGGACCAATTGGGTCTTCTTAGGCATTGATTATGTTGGCAATTAATTAATTAAGATACAGAAGCAAGAATAATTGCAATTTTATTCAGTAGGGATGGGTTCTTTAAGCTAACTCTTCTAGTTGTGAAATATGTTTTTGAGTTATGAATGTCAATAACATCAAACAGTTGTTGTGGAATAAACTAAACACAAATAATAGCAGGAAAAAACAATCATACGTAAAATGTATATATGATACATAGATTTATCTGATTCGATACCAGTTGCACTATACTGAAAGAAAAGTAAACCATTAGGTCTATATACCTAGGAAATATATTAAAAAAGTACTCAAACTTTACAATCTTCATTTATGAATTGACTCCGATATATAATTTATTGAGACATAAATTATATATAATACACACCATTTTAAGAGGTTGGTGTATTATGGACTTTTGAAATATCAAATTTTCATAAAGTAAAATAAAAAAATAAAAATTTAATGGGGACTAGAAAGGTTCATTAATTTAACCAAAAAAAAGAAAAAAAAAAGTTTTAAGAGTTGAGATTAGTAAAAATTATAATCTCACTTTTCCTATCACATCATACTAAAAGTGAAAAATCAAGTATATTTCGTGCCTCAATGTTTTGCTAGCCCTTTGGTCAATTTGAGTCATTCTCAGTTTCATCATGAAAAACAGTTGATGTAAACATGATAATGCCATTTCCTCTGCACACACTCACCCAACTTAATATAATGGCAAGTCTTATTTTGACATGATTGTGATTTAACTTTCGGTCTAAGTAACCATGAGATGTACCCATATCATTTGTGGGAATCATATACAGTAGCAAAATTTGTCGTTATTTAGATCTCGTATTCAGTTTAACATATTAAAATTTTTAGTTTTTAAAACATAACAAACTAAAAAATTTCATAGTTCTGTAAACATAGAACTGCTTTCACAATTTCTCAAGTGCACACAATTTTGTGAAATTTTACACTTTTTTAAAGATTGTGTAATTTGTCAATTTTTATAAAATTTTACAGTTTCTCAAACACAGAATTGTGAAATTTCCCAACATCTCAAGTATAGAAAATTTGAAATTTCATGGTTTTACAAATTGTGAAAATTGAGTGACATTTTGAGATTTTTTTAATACATAATTTCATATTCAATTTGATCTTATTTGATAGATTTTGATAAAATAGATTTTTTAGCCTAATAAGATAAAATATCACATCAAACCCATAATCATTACATTCTTTCTCTCATAAAAAAGTTAAAAAAGTCAAAAAAGTCAAAAGTCTTTCCCAAACCAGGCTTTTTAGCTCCAAACTAGGCCTCGTTTGGCAAGAGGCTATTTTAGCCAATTAGCCAAAAAGTTACTAAATTAGTCAAAAAGTCAACAACCCATACCAAAAAGTCAAAGATTCTCTTTTCTCTCTACTTTTTGCACATCTTTTCGTAATTAGCCAAAAAGTTATCCCAAACATATAAGTTTATCCCAAACATATAATTAGCCAAATAGAAAATCCAGATAAAAATAAAAAGACTATATTTTAAAAAATGAATAGAGAAACAAATATCCCAATAAAATGGTTCTTTGAAACTCTGTATTATAGCAAGAAAAAGTTTCGTAGTGTTTAATGAAATTATATGATTATGAATATTGAATCAATTTGATTTTTTATTATTCCTTTATATTATAAATGATTTATTCATATAGTTAAACAGAATAAACTGTTCAAAATGGCAGTTCACTTCAATAATACCCCTAATTCTCTCCATGTGTGTTTGTGTGGAGGACAACATAAAAGAGGCGTGGTAAGGTATCTTTAGAATCTAAAAGTGATTGATTTGCCAAACACTTTTGATTCCAAGTGATGATATAGAGATCTAATTGGAAGTCCTTTTCTTAGTAGTTTACTTCCAATCTTTCTATCTTTTCCATCTTCTTTAGTTTTTGTTAATTTTTCTTTTTATGTTAGTGGTGTTTGGAATCAAAGCAATTATTAGAATGACATACATGATATGTTGATGGTGCTGGCAAAGTAATGAGGACTCGATTTTTTAATCTCAAATTATGGTCCAAAAGTGTGAGAAAGCAATAATTGCAGGTGCACAAAATTAAAATACAGAATATATATACAAAAAAATATATTGTGTAGCTCGTGAATGTGATACAAATTATATTTAAAATAGTTGTAATGACAAAAAAAGTGAGGACCAATTGGGTCTTCTTAGGCATTGATTATGTTGCCAATTAATTAATTAAGATACAGAAGCAAGAATAATTGCAATTTGATTCAGTAGGGATGGGTTCTTTGAGCTAACTTTTCTAGTCGTGAAATATATGTTTTGAGTCATGGTTGTCAATACAGCAATGCTAAGTATTATGAAAAGTCTTTCATGAAAATGATCATGAAAGATTTGTGACCTTTGAATTATACTTAGAATAAAGCACTACACACTAATCAAGATAATCTTATGCTGTGTTTGGTTGGGGTTTTTGGGGTGGGATTTGGAAAAGGAATGAGAAATGTAATCCTATTTATATTTGGTTATAATAAAAAATATATGGGAAAAGAAAGGGGGTGAGAAATAAATAAAGAAATAGGAGACCTTTTAGGACATCAATTCTATTTTATAACCAACATAACCAAACATAGTTGGGATTTGAAATTCTATTAATTCTTTCTCATTTTCCTTTCATTTCCATTTCCCTTTCCATTTCCCTTCCTAAATCCCCCAACCAAACACAGCGTAAGGGTCACAAATCTTTCATAATCATTTTCATGAAAATTTTTTCATGGTCCTTAACATTTCTCTTGTCAATAATGTCAAGCAGTTGTTACTAAGGATAGGGGTTGAGGTAACTCTTCTAGTTGTGAAATATGTTATCGAGTTATGAATGTCAATAACATCAAACAGTTGTTGTGGAATAAACTACACACAAATAATAGCAAGAAAAAACAATCATACGTAAAATATATATATGATATATAGATTTATCTCATTCGGTAAATTTATTTTCGTCCACAACTTATACCAGTTGCACTATACTGAAAGAAAAGCAAAGCATTAGGTCTATATACCTAAGAAATATATTAAAAAAGTACTCAAATTTTACAATCTTCATTTATAAATTGACTCCGATATATAATTTATTGAGACATAAATTATATATAATACACACCATTTTAAGAGGTTGGTGTATTATGGACTTTTGGAATATCAAATTTACATAAAGTAAAATAAAAAAATAAAAATTTAATGGAGACTAGAAAGGTTCATTAATTTAACCAAAAAAAAAGAAAAAAAAAAAGTTTTAAGAGTTGAGATTAGTAAACATTATAATCTCACTTTTCCTATCACATCATACTAAAGTGAAAAATCAAGTATATTTCGTGCCTCAATGTTTTGCTAGCCCTTTGGTCAATTTGAGTCATTCTCAGTTTCATCATGAAAAACAGTTGATGTAAACATGATAATGCCATTTCCTCTGCACACACTCACCCAACTTAATATAATGGCAAGTCTTATTTTGACATGATTGTGATTTAACTTTCGGTCTAAGTAACCATGAGATGTACTCATATCATTTGTGGGAATCATATACAGTAGCAAAAGTTGTCGTTATTTAGATCTCATATTCAGTTTAACATATTAAAATTTTTAGTTTTTAAATCATAACAAACTATAAAATTTCATAGTTTTGTAAACATAGAACTGCTTTCACAATTTCTCAAGTGCACACAATTTTGTGAAATTTTACACTTTTTTAAAGATTGTGTAATTTGTCAATTTTTATAAAATTTTACAGTTTCTCAAACACAGAATTGTGAAATTTCCCAACATCTCAAGTATAGAAAATTTGAAATTTCATGGTTTTACAAATTGTGAAAATTGAGTGACATTTTGAGATTTTTTTAATACATAATTTCATATTCAATTTGATCTTATTTGATAAATTTTGATAAGTAAATTGAAAAATAAAAAAAATAATAAAAAAATAAAAATGTACAATGAAAGTTATAACATTTTAAATTTTGAAAAGAAAAAATATAACTAATAGCAATAACACAAAAATGTATAATGAAAGTTAAATTACGGGAATTCATTATCACACAGAAAAATCACTGGCTGCTAAATTTTCTTCTATCACATTACAATAAAAGACAAATTAATAAAAACTAAACACCATTTTTTGGTTCCTCTATTTTAGCCTCCGGTTGGCAAGTTGGTTTTGAGGTTTTTTGGGCTAAAATAGTCACAAAAAATACAATAGATTTTTTAATCTAATAAGATAAAATATCACATCAAACCCATAATTATTACATTCTTTCTCTCATAAAAAAGTTAAAAAAGTCAAAAAAGCTAAAAGTCCTTCCCAAGACTTTTTAACTCCAAATTAAAATAGCTAAAAAAACCAAAAAACTAAAAAACTAACCCACTTTCCAAACGGAGGCTTAATGATGTAAAGCTCCATTTGGAACCATTAATTCAACATAATATGTACCCAATTTTGCTTTGGAACAGATAGAAAAATGGGAGCGCACAACCTTTAAAGATTGCTTAGCATTGTTGAATTATTTGAACGGTCGACCATAAAATAACACTATATGTTTCAATTAGTATATTAATTAGTGTATCAATTGATAATGTGATATAATTTAAAAGATCTTTTGATATTTGTAATGTTATTAATGAGTAAGGTCAATAATAATGTTATAACTAGTATTGGTACATTAGTTAGTACACTAATTGATGCATGTAGTATCACTCGTCGATCATATGAGTAGCTATGACATAGGCAATCATCACTTGTGCAACTTTTTCAGTTAAAATTTATTCAAATAAATTTAGAGTAATATTGTATTTTATTTACAAACTGACACTTATTACTTTTTTTCCTAAAATTATAATGAATAATACTATATGCACTAATTAGTGTACTAACTAGTGCACTAACACTAGTTATGATATTATTATTGACCTCACTCATTATGCACATTACAAATATCAAAAATCTCTTAAATTATGTCACATCATCAATTTATACACTAATTAGTACACTAATTAATGCATGTAACACCATCGAATTATAATACATAAGTAATAAATTTAATGATTTAACTCAATAACAATTCATTTAAAATATCACCATAAATTCCTCCACAAGTATTGAATAATTAATGATCAGCCAAGCAGTTGTAACATTTATTGAATGAACATTTCTTGAACTAGATTCATTGTACATGCATTGGGGTGACTGAGGCACAACAGTCCACTGTGCTTTGTTGTGGGAGTTTGTCCTGAATTTTTTTTAATAATTTGAACCGTTTACATTGTGAGGTTTGTCAATAATATCATTTAAATAAAAAATCAAGTTAATCGGATATTTATAACCTCATGATTAGATCTTAATTGTTTTTAAACATTTATAAAAGGTATGTTAACCGTTAGTTTTTATAAAAACAAATATGCTTTGGTTATAGAGTTATACATATCTAATCAACTTGATTTTTTGTATGAATAATTTACTCGATGAACTCTACCATATAAACCGTTCAAATTATCGAAAAAATTCCTAACTATACTCTACAAGAGGCACACCAGCCTTACTGTCCGTACAATGCATTGTGTTGGCGTTGTTTGAATGTGGGCCACTCTACGAGAAAATATAGTGGCATGATGGCATCAATTATTAATTGGCGCTTTCATATGGTATTTTACTTTTTTTGAAGGGGTTGGGAGTTGGGTTGGTGGAACTAGACTTTAGTTTATTATTAGTATTATTTTTTGGCAAAGATCATGTTAGTGAGATGCAAGAGATACTCATCACTCTTCGTTGGGGGCTTCGCAGCATTTTTTTGTTTTGGTAATGTACATTGCAATTTAAAAAAATAATAATAATAAGAGCATTGTTATATCTATCAAATTTAGATTTGTTTGAATTACTTGAATTTGTGTATGTTACTCGTCCGAGATGTCGGTAATTTGGACTAATGCCAATTGACACACCGGTTGGACAGTCATCTGATCATCATCTTATATAAAATGTTGATCGTTCGAGCGGTCATTTGGCCAAACATCTGGGTTATGTAATTTGGTCAATTCACGCGAGCTCAAATTCTTTGCATCAATTATTTTTGTAAAAAATAATAAAGTGTAAGAAGTGCCACTGAACCTATAAAGCACAAGTGCGGATTCAGATACGTTATGGGTGCGCAGATTCAGTAAAACCTAAAAATAATTGGATACGAGTATGACTAGGTACGTTAATAAATTTTTTATTTTTTTTATAATTTCAAATTCAACCTACAATCAAAGTTCAATACCAAAATTAGAAGGGAAATCATAATTTAACAATACCAATACCAAAGTACAGTCTATAAGCTAATTTAATGCCATTAAATAGAAGAAATTACAAAACAAATTTTCATTCCAAAAGCAAGTTAAATAAAATTTGAAAACTCAAAATTTTAATTTTCACTTCCATTAATTTTATCATTAAATAATACATTTTTCATTTCAGTTACATTAAACAAATCAAAACTCTCTAATAAATTAAGTATACCTCCACCAATACCCGATGTATCCACCCTATACTCACAAAATACCACAAGCAAAGAATGTATAAAAAAATATCCGGTATATATTTCGAATACCCAATGCCCATACAATCCTTTGGAGTAGCCATACTTCACAGCACTGAACAATGACAGTGAAGTTCGCTTTTGACCCGTATTGTATTGCGCTCTCTCTCTCTCTCTCTCTCCTTCTGTTCATCAAATCTACAACTAGTATTAGTATCGTTTTCAACCCTTTTGTTGCTTATATATATTTCCATCTTTCCTTTCTTCTTTCTCTGCCCACACATTATTGTTTCCACAAAGCATACCCAAACGACATGTTTGGGGGACTCTTTCTAGGATTAAGGATCCTCTAGAGTGAAATTTTTCTAAAGTTTCCTAGAGTGCTACATTGTGTGGTTGAGATTTACTGGCAAGTCACATCAGAAGAATTGATGTGACTTGTCAGTAAATCTCAACCACACAATGTAACACTCTAGGAAACTTTAGGGAAAAATCACTCTAGAGGATCCTTGCTCTCTTTCTAGGTCCTTTAACCATCAACAACACCACTCTTTCTTGCAATTCGATTTCTTTCAATTGGGCACTTGCTTTTTTTGGACTTTTTATGTAATACTTTTCTTGTTCATGTTCTTTCAAATAGTTTTTGGCAATACCCAAGTCATGCAATTTTTCTGGGATATTCTAAAAAATCTCCTTTCAATGGCAATCTCATTGTTTGATGTTAAACCCCAATGGGGTCGCTAAAGATTATTCCTGACCCCTTGGAGGAGTGTTTTGGTCTTTTTTCCTGACAAACATGGAAGAGACATTTGTGCCTTTTCGAGGAATCAAGAATGATCTTAAAGGAAGGTTGCTGTGTTACAAGCAAGACTGGACTGGGGGGTTTAGAGCAGGCTTCAGGTATAGTATATACTCACTCAGCTCTCTCATAATCTAATTAATTATTATCATGTGTATGCTTTTTAATTGTAATGTTTCTTTTTCCTTCTCTGTCTTCCTTTCCTGTCTCACTCCATGCATATACATGTTTAGTTGTTGTGTCAGCTTCATGTATATTTTTGGGCCTGTTTCCTATAAGGTTTAACTTTTCGGGTTAATTGGTAACTTTAACATGATTTCATAGCTCTGGTTCCAGGAGATTCTGGTGGTTCTGTTGCCCTACGTATTGTCTCCGTTGTTGTGCACTTTGGTCGGTCTGTCTTGTCTTGGTGCACCTTTATTTCCACGTGTGAGTTTGCATGTGAAGGGGAGTGTTAGCTTGATATACGTTGGTTCGATTCGTACCAACTAAATCTTTTGAGACAATTAGTGACTTGACAAGTTGCAACCTTTCTGTTTGAACATAATTTTTTTTAATCCATGTTCTTCTTTTTTGTGAATTTTAAAAATAATACAATTTTATTTTTTCAGGATTTTGGCTCCTACCACATATATATTCTTTGCCTCAGCAATCCCAGTCATTTCATTTGGGGAACAACTGGAGAGAAATACTGGTATGGGAAATAAACTGTAAATAATTTTCTCACTGTATATTTGGCATTGAAATTTCTTCTATATTTTCGAATAGATGTTAAAAGTATTCAAAGATGTGTCACAGTTGTTAATAGCTGCAACTTAGCAATTTAATTACTCAAAAAAGAAAAAAAGAAAAAAAGAAAAAAGGATTAAGAAGTCAATAGGAAAACACTAGAACATAGAGTGTAATCCATGAAATTTATCATGGCTAAATTAAATTGCTATCAAAATGGTTTTACATTATATGCTCCACCTGCCCAGAAGAGGTATTAACTGCGGTTCAGACCTTATCATCCACTGCAATTTGTGGGATTATTCACTCAATCATTGGGGGTCAACCTTTGCTGATCTTGGGAGTTGCAGAGCCCACTGTAATAATGTACACATTCATGTTCAACTTTGCTAAAGAGAGACCCGATTTGGGTCGCAATCTGTTTCTTGCATGGACTGGATGGTGAGCTATATCTTTTTATTTTTCCCTAATGAATTATCATTGTTTGTACGGTTTTGAATGTCTTGCAGTTTTATTGCTTGAAATTGTTCCGTTAAACTTATTTAATAAAACTTGATTATTTGATCTTTCAGGGTGTGTGTGTGGACTGCAGTCTTGCTGTTCTTACTGGCTATCTTAGGAGCTTGCTCTATTATCAACAGATTTACTCGTGTGGCAGGAGAACTGTTTGGTTTGCTTATTGCCATGCTGTTTATGCAACAAGCAATCAAGGTGAGGAAAATTGTGATAGGATTACATTTTCTAATCTTTGAATTCCTCATATGAATGTCAATCCTAGAACTTTTTCGAAGAAGGCATGTCTAGATCTTTTCGGCTCAATATTAATTGTTTTAACATCTCTATATGTTGGCCATATTCGACTATGAGCACCTCTATACCACTTTAGAGTTAATCTAACATTATTTTGATTTGATTTGGTTTCCAGGGACTTGTGGATGAGTTTCGCATACCAAAACGAGAAAATCTAAAATTGATTGAGTTCATACCTTCATGGAGGTTTGCAAATGGGATGTTTGCTTTGGTTCTGTCATTCGGTCTTCTGCTAACTGCATTAAAAAGCAGAAAAGCAAGGTCATGGCGGTATGGGACTGGTAAGTATGTGTTGCAAAATTACAAATTGGTTTTAAGTTGCCAAAGTTGGATTTTTGGTGAACACCTATTTATTTTGATAGCGTAAATGTCCTTCCACAGGTTGGCTTAGAAGCCTTGTAGCAGACTATGGTGTGCCACTTATGGTTCTAGTCTGGACAGCCATTTCCTACATTCCATCTGAAAGTGTTCCCAAAGGAATCCCACGACGCCTCTTCAGCCCAAATCCGTGGTCACCTAGTGCATATGAGAATTGGACAGTTATTAAGGCATGTTAATCAAGTTTTGTTTTGGCCCAAAAAGACTTGCCTTTTATTTATTGTTGACTTGACTCATGATGGGTAGTAAATTTACAATTTCAACTCAAACTGACAGGATATGCTCAACGTGCCCATTCTCTATATACTTGGAGCTTTTATTCCTGCAACTATGATTGCAGTACTTTACTATTTTGACCACAGCGTCGCATCTCAGCTTGCTCAGCAGAAAGAATTCAATCTGAGAAAGCCACCTTCTTTCCATTATGACTTGCTTCTTTTGGGGTTCTTGGTATGCAAGTTCTTGCTTCCTGTTCACTTTTATTTTCTCTTTTATGATCTCTTTAGTTTTCTAACTGTGCTATTTTTTTGGATGATATGTTTAAATTACTGCTTCTTAATGACAGACCTTAATGTGCGGTCTGATTGGTATCCCTCCATCAAACGGTGTGATCCCACAATCCCCGATGCATACAAAGAGTCTGTCCACTCTTAAACACCAGGTAATTATTCCAAAACCTCAAAGAAAAACATGAAATTTCATTCTCAAAAAGTGTTCATGCATCTGTGAACCTGGTTTTTTTAATTAAGACGGTAGACAAGCCTATACTTGACCCTAAATGTTTCAATTCCTTCTCCAAATATGATTCACTGAGAGGAATACCTCCTGATTGTGCAGTTGCTTCGGAATCGACTGGTTGCAACAGCACGCCAAAGTATGAGAAAGAACTCAAGCTTGGGACAATTGTATGGGAATATGCAAGAAGCCTATCAACAGATGCAGACCCCTCTGACCTACCAGGACCCCTCTGCTCGAGTATGATTCCAAACTTGTTTGGCAAAGGCTTTTTTTTGGCTTTTGGGGCTAAAATCCACAAAATGACAATATAGGTTAAAATAGCTAATAAGACAAAATGTTACATCAAACCCATAATAATTTCATTTTTCTCTCACAAACATCACATCCAACTACAAAAAAATCCATCTATCTTTCCAAATACAAAAATTTTAATCTACTAAAATAGCCTACTAAAATAGCAACTTCCTAAACACCCACCTTGTTTCATTTCCATAATATATGGGACTTGCTGCTTAGCTTTCTTTGCAACTCAACAATTTCAAATCAACAATTAATTGGCAAATGACTTCATTTCAATAATCATTTCAAATCTAACAATTGCATTATTCAGTGAAATCATGATTTTAGCTCAATCTTGCAAGAATATCTGAACATAGTAATTTTTTTTTTCTTTTTCTTTTTTGGTTCAGGGGTTAAATGAATTAAAAGAATCAACAATTCAATCAGCTTCAAGCATGGGAAATATTAGCGCTCCAGTTGATGAGACAGTTTTTGACATTGAGAAGGAGATTGATGATCTATTACCAGTCGAGGTCAAAGAACAGCGTGTTAGTAACTTGCTTCAAGCCACAATGGTGGCAGGATGTGTTGCTGCCATGCCTTTCCTCAAGATGATTCCAACCTCGGTGCTCTGGGGATACTTTGCCTTTATGGCAATTGAAAGTTTACCTGGTAACCAGTTTTGGGAAAGAATATTATTATTATTCACTGCTCCAAGCAGAAGATTCAAGTAAGGCCTTCATACACTTTTCTTTCAGTCTCTTTTCATGTTCAATCTTCCTTAACCTTGGTAGGAAAATACTCATCTTCTCTGCAGAGTTCTTGAGGAGTACCACACCACCTTTGTGGAAACTGTGCCATTCAAGACAATCGTGACATTTACAATATTCCAAACAACATACTTGCTTATTTGTTTCGGGATCACATGGGTTCCAATCGCAGGGCTTTTATTCCCTCTGATGATCATGCTTTTGGTTCCTGTAAGACAATATTTTCTTCCCAAGTTTTTCAAAGGAGCACACCTTCAAGATTTAGATGCGGCGGAGTATGAAGAGGCACCGGCTTTACCATTCACTCTTGCTACAGTAAGATTTCTGCAATAACTTCCATTATCATTTACTATGTTTATTGGGAAATTTGACCATCAATTTCATGGTATGTTGAATTTGTTGAAACAGGAGACAGAGCTAGGTGCAAGAGCTTCATTTGCAGAGGATAGAGAGATTTTAGATGAGATCATCACCAGAAGCCGTGGTGAGATAAAGCATGTTTACAGTCCAAAGGTTACGAGCTCCACTGCAACACCAGCAAAAGATTCCAAAATACTCCAGAGCCCACGTTTGTCAGATAAAACGTTCAGCCCTCGTATTAGTGAACTGAGAGCAGAGAAAAGTCCTCAGTTTAGTGGAAGAGGAGGCCCTGTTAGCCCAAGGCCATCAAACTTGGGGATGAGTCCCCGGAACTCAATTTCATAGTGATGGGAGAAAATTGACTTGGTTTTTTTATCTATGTATTGTAGAGTTTGAGATGGCTTGTATGTTGTATTATTGTCGGTTTCTCACCATGTTGTTTTGGTTGGCATTGATGTAAAATCTTCCTTCTTTTTGTTCTTTAATCGTATTATATATATTGCTTTCTTGTAATGAAATACTAGCTTGAAATTGTTCTTTTTAAAATAAATATTTCACACTGATTCTTATAAATGCTAAGATGTTGCCCTGGCATGCTCATTGCATGTGGAGCTAATACAATTACGGTGGAGAAATGCTGGTGAAATTAAGGTGGAGAATAGAAGAGAGGAGAGGAGAGGAGAGGAGTGTGTGATTTTCAATAGCATATTGGCAATAGGTGGTTAAGTGCCAACTGCCAAGTGAGGGGATTCATTCTTCACGTCTCTCATGGACATGTCTGTCTTTGCCTTCCAATTCTAGTGAAATTCACATTTCACATGAACCTCAACTCCACATTATTATTATTATTATTTGTGTTTGAATTGTTGATTCTAGCTTGACTGTAGACTGAAAGGGAGGAAGGGACAGTAGTGTAGGCCACCCTTTCCCTTGCATCATCATCTTTTTGATATTCTTTGATAAAAAAGGCAGCTTTACATAAAAGATGAGATTGAGACATAATCTATAAAATCAGAAAATGAAGTGAAGGTATATACCAATGGGAAATGGAATGAGTCCAATGAAGATTTGATATGCTAGTTGACCATGGCCATGTCCAATCTCTGTCATAATCAATCAAACCCTATTCATTATTCAACTTATATGTAACTTTACTCTCTCATTCATATCCAATTCTGCAGTAGCTACTTGTATTTTTCTGTCCCAAGTGTGGTTGTGTGTGATATATGCTTTTATTACTCTCTCTCTAAGGTAAGATTTATATTGAATGCATCTTTCTTTCTTTTTCTTGGATTGACACCACTGAACCATACATCAACATCTAGGCAACTAGACTCGTATTAGTGGCTGACATAGATATGTATAAATAACAATGCTTCACACCTGCACAACACATCTATAGAGACCCACTCTCCGCTCCCTGTATGGATGTGTTTGTTGGTGTATAAATGGGTGTGTGGCTATTTTTATTAATGTAAAAACTGGATTGAGGTTAAGATAAAATTATTTAAATTTTGGAGAGATTAAAAAGTAAAATTATATAGATTTTGAGCAGCCAAAATACTAATTTCATTTAAAAATGGTCAAAGTTGTATGAGGATATTGAAATATTTCAGAAGTTTGAAAATTATGTTCCTTGTCACCACTTAATACAATCTTATCCCGTTTAGTTTCATAATTTATACTCTTATTGAATTTTGATTTCATAACTTAGTGACAAATGGCTTGTAATGATCGAGGTATACAAATTTAAAATTAATGACCCGTTGATATGAGAAAAAAAGAGGTATGTTATTCTAAAGTAGATCATTATATATCAGATAAAATGATTTAAGTGGTTTAATGGTAGAGAATCATAGAATCACCTCTCTACTTACGCCGTGTTTAATTGGGGAATTTGAGGAGGAATTTAGAAAAGTTTCTTAAATCTCCCAACCAAATACAGCGTTACTAAAAGTCTTTGTCCTTTATTGTTTGTTTTGTTGTCTTTTTTGTGTGATTTGTTTGTTTTGACAGTTGGGTTTCTAGCAATGTATTGTCAAATTTTTTTAAATGGTAGAATGTTCAGTATCTCATCACTTAATTGAGATGCTAGACTTAATTTGGCTAATTAAATGTACACTAAGATGTAAGTTTCAATATTTGTAAATTATCTCATATCGATTGTCAACAAAAAAAAAAAAAAATCTAAAAAATAATGGACATTCGAATCATAAGTCTAATTTTAAAATTTTGGGTTAATTAAATGTCCACTACAATGTAAATCATAATATTTGTAAATTATCTCATATGGATTGTCAACAAATAATAATAATAGGCAAACTTCACTTTACTTGCTATGGTTTGGATTAAGTGCAGATTATCTCTTGACATTCAGAAATTATCACATAACTCCCATTTGGTTTGTGGACTAAAACACACCGTCCACTTTTCTGTCCACTTTTCTATCAAAGTTAACAGACTATGTAGTTTAAACACCCATAAAGAGAGTATGTTACATTTTAAGATCAAAATATCCTTTAGACATCTTTAAATTTGCAAAGGCATGTCATGCTTCTTCCTTCTCTTTCTACTATTTCTCTTTATATTTCTTAACTCCAACCCACTGTACCACCTCAACTTCCTCTCCCCCCACCAATCTTCCCTCTCTATGCCACCACGTAACCCCTTTCTCTTTTATTCACATGGCTATACCGACGTCCAATTATCTCATATGGATTGTCAACAAATAATAATAATAGGCAAACTTCACTTTACCCGCTATGGTTTGGGCTGACTGCAAATTATCCCCTGACATTCAGAAATTACACATAACTCCCATTTGGTTTGTGGACTAAAACACACCGTCTACTTTTCCATCAAAGTTAACAGACTATGTAGTTTAAACACCCATAAAGAGAGTATGTTACATTTTAAGATCAAAATATCCTTTAGACATCTTTAAATTTGCAAAGGCATGTCATGCTTCTTCCTTCTCTTTCTACTATTTCTCTTTATATTTCTTAACTCCAACCCACTGTACCACCTCAACTTCCTCTCCCCCCACCAATCTTCCCTCTCTATGCCACCACGTAACCCCTTTCTCTTTTATTCACATGGCTATACCGACGTCCTTTTCTACAACTCCATGGCCACTTCAAGTTAATAAGAAAAATAATAAAACTTGGAAGAAAAATGTTAGGTTTGCATCAATCAAAATTTTTTGAAGCTAAAATCCAATTACCAACGGGATCTATCTTTATAAGGGACCTTAGGTTCTGTGTATATATTTACATTATGTATGCATATATGAATAAAATTTGGGTTGTTGAGTGGTGATGGAAGAGATAAAGAGTCTTTTAGGATGAAAAAGTATATATTCACGTTCTGAGTTATTACATAGTCAATTTCAATTAATGGATAAGCAAATTGTGCCAATATAATTTAATTTGATGCCCAATGACAAAATTTTTTTTTTAGAGGAATAGTGACAGACCTTAGCTACTGTGAATGATTTTAGAAATTTAGTATTTAGATTTTAAATTGATTTGTAGAATATTGAATGATTGGATAATATATATGCATTTACTGTTGATGAGTGGTGAGAATGAGTGACTGGTTTTTTGGTGCGGAGATGTGTGTGCCGTTTGGATTTCTTGTACAAATTGGAACGAAATTTGTTAGAGTTGGTAGCATGGAAGGAAGAAGAAAGAAAATAGGTGTGTATATATATATATATATATATTTGCAAGTTTAATTTAAAAGAGAGAAGAGGAAGAAGACGGGGGCATAAAAGTAAATTTACACGTTCTATTAATAGAAGTTAGTGTGCGTTTTAATTCACAAACCACATGGGAGTTATGTGGTGATTTCCGAATGTGGGGGGTAATCCATACCCGGCTCAAAGTATAGGAGGTAAAGTGAAATTTGTCTATAATAATAATAATCTAAAAAGTAATAGGGATACTTGGACTATTAGTCCAATTTTAAAACTTTTGGGTGATAGCCCTAATAATAATATGTCTATTTGTCCATATCATCACTATCACCAATTGCTACTGCTAGCCACCTTCGGTGAATTTTCTTGCTACCGGCCAACAGCGGTCCCGTGATGTTTGGTAGTGATTTGGCGACAATGGGATAAAAATAGAAAAAAAATAATAATAATAAAAAAATTTATCTTAAGCATATCGTTAATTTCACAAAATGTATTTTGTCTTCTTGTAACTAAAATGACCCTAACCTCACATGCCAACGTGTGCCTAAAAAATTCGTTTGAATTTTTTTATATATAATATTTTATCTTATTAACGTTTTAATTTATTTTAATTTTTTATAAGGAAATTAACTCTCAACCTCAAAAAAGTCGCATACCAGACAAGGGCTTAACCAACCTAGCCTAATTGTTAGGAGCAACCCATGCTAAATAAAATTGAGGTCGGCAGGAATGGGCTTTTTAGGTTCGGGGACCTTTCACTAGAAAGTTGGGCAGACGGGAAGAAGCTTCATGTCAATTTAAAGTAGGCTTAGGGAGACATCCCAACGCAACCAAACCCACAAAAAAATTATGCACGATTATTGGTTTTAATCTTTCTTGGACAACAAATGTTGATTTTTTTGGGGGACTAATTATAACTTATTTATAAACAAACAAAAAAACATATAAATGCACAATCTAAATAAAAAATATATATCACTGAAAAATAAATACAAAAAATTCCATTGATTAGAGTGAATTAGATTTTCTATTATATAAAATATAATATATAAATTATCTATATAGAACTTGAGCTTGGGTTGTGCAAGACCTCCGTCTAAGTCCAATCCGCCGAATCTTTTGTTTCAATATATATTATTTAAGAATTAAAATTTTCAATTGAGCTCAAGTTCGGGTTAAGACCTGCTTTAATTGCATCCTAAATGTTCTTCTACAATTTGAGATTTTTTTATGCTGTGTTTGGTTGGAAAATTTGGAGAGGAATTTGAAAAGGGAAAGGGAAAGGAAAAGGGAAAAGGAAAAGGTGTGTGAAACTAAGTGAAATGTAGGTATATTTTATTTACATTTCATCTAATTTTTTTATTTTTCTTTCCAAATCCCTCATCAAATCTCCCAACCAAACACAGTATTAAGGTTCAAATTATTCCCTTTCTTTATTAACAACTAACAAATTAACTCCTACTAATATATATGATATGACCACAAAAAAAAAAAAAAAAAAAAAAACTTTATGGTGAAATTATGAAAAAATTCTCAAAGTTAGTTTTGTAATAAAATAAAGAATAAATTAGAAATATACCCCCTGAGATTTGATTAAAATATGAGTTGCTCCCTATGGTTTTGAAAATTACATTTCATCTCCTGAAGTTTTTAATTTTATAACAAATCGCCCATTTTATTAATAAATTATCAAGTCAATTAACAGTTTTTAATGATAATTTAGGTAATTTTGTTATTGTATTGGAGAACAATTATGAATTTTATTTTTTTAGTTAATTCTGTTAAATAAAAAATTCTAATAAGGGGGTTTTTGCAATTTTTCAAACGACATGAGGCAATCTCTATTTTAAGCAAATATCAGGGGGTGTATTTGTAATTTATCCTAAAATAAATCTTAATTTTTAAATTTTATCAATCCCTAAATTTTTATTTTTTTTAAATTAAATCATTTGTCTATTTTTGTTAATGGACAAAGATATTGTAGTCATTAAACTTAATAAAAATAGTATTTTAGACATTTTATGTATACCTACGTTAAATTTAATGACTAAAAGATACTTTTTTTAATCAATTTTATTTAACGAAAATAAGTGAATAGTTTATATTGAAAACAAATCAAAACGTTAGAGTTTAAATTGACAAAATTAAAAAGTCAAAATTTATTTTGTTACAATATTAAAGTCTTAATTTTTTTTTTTAATTTATAATTGTCTTAAACTTTAGGGAAAATTCATCTAAGGTCCCTCTTCTATTTTTAGTAATGAAAGAAATCCAAAATATTATTTTATGATGTCTAAGGTTTCTCAATCCCACACCATGTATCACAGAGAAATTTGATATATCACACGCTCTCTATTTCTCTCTATCAGACTCATACCTCATTTCTTCTCTCTATCGCTACTCTTCTCTCTCTCTCTTTCGCCGATCTCAACAACGAGATCGTCTTCGCCTTCCCGTCGATCTCTACCAAATTTATCTCCATTTACCAGTTCAAAACCCTATATTTTCTCTCTCTCTCTCTCTCTCTCTCTCTCTCCTTCCCTAAATCTATCTCTCTCATTTTCTTCTCTCAACAAAGACGGAAAAGCGGGATCAATCCCCCAGTTACCATGTTCGAAAGTGCTCTTCGTCTCGACATCTTCTCGGCTTCTTCTCCAATTCACACCGTATCGAATCTTCAATCCCTGAGGACTATGTCTCCTTGGATGATCTCCAAATTGTCTTCCTCGCCTTCTTCGTTGAAATCGGCGTCTTGCAACAACAGATTCATACCCTGCTGATCGTCTTCGAGGGTCCACACTTTTGGGCTCGTCGATAAGGCTTCTCTTGTGAAAGAGAGAGGGAACAAGGCTTAATCGAGGTTGTTGAAATTGGAGTTTTTTTGGTCTGATTTTGAGTCTTTTTCTTCTCTTGCAAGTCGGGGATCGCCGATGCGTCCTAGTAAGAACATGTTGAGGTTCAAGACAGATCATTCAGGGCCCAACACGCCTTACTCGCCGTCGATTTTGGGAAGTAATACTGGGTTCCATTTGGAGAATTCGACCCCTTCTAAGCCACCTAGGAAGGTGCCCAAGACACCCCATAAGGTACAGAGAGCTCTGTTTATTTTGCTCGTGTTTGGTTGTTAAGAAATCTGTGGAAAAATACATGTAATTTTACGAGGCTTATTTGAACTACAGCAATATAAACTACACATGTACTCCTTGATGTTTACTTCTTTCCAAATTTGTGAAATCTATTATGAGATCATATTTGATAGTATGAGCAAAGCAAGTTGATATTGTACTTGTTTGACAATTGGTTTGATGGATGAAATTAGTAGAAAACACAATTTTCTCTAATTTGATCAAAACACAGAGAAAATTGTAAAGCAAATCAGAGAAATTTGTGAACATGTCAGAGAAATTCTTTGGCTTTCCTAGAATTTCTCTTCAGAGAAATTTTCTGAAAAGTTCAGAGAAATTTTATGAATCAAATTTTCTCTGGGTAAAATCAGAAAAAAGGTTGTCAATTTCAATGGTGAAATGGAGCTTTTAATAAACTACAGCAATATAAACTACACAGGTACTCCTTGATGTTCAATTCTTTCCAAATTTGTGAAATCTGTTGTGAGATCATATTTTATAGTTTGAGCAAGGTAAGTTGATACTGTACTCTTGTTTGAGAATTGGTTTGATGGATGGAATTAGTGGAAAACACAATTTTCTCTAATTTGATCAAAACACAGAGAAAATTGTAAGCAAATCAAAGAAAATTGAGCAAATTAAAGAAATTTGTGAACATATCAGAGAAATTCTCTGGCTTTTCCAAAATTTTTTTAGAAAGAATTTCTCTAAATTGAATTTTCTCTGGAAAGTTCAAAAAAATTATTTGAATTGAATTTTCTCTGAATCGATATTGAGGGACCCTAAACATTGCGAAAATATTTAGTGTCTTTTATGATATAAAATCTTAATATCGGAGACTTTAAAAAAAAATCTCCTAAACTTTATTATCTAAATTCGGTACCCAATGCTAAAAAAGTTCTCTGGTCTCAAAAAAACATTAGAGACTATCGCCTATGCTTGCCTTGAGGATTCATTTAGAAATGGATTATTTTAATTAATTTTTAAAAATATATAAATAGTAAATATTTTAATTTTTTAGACTATTATAGCCAAAACCCACCAAAATATAAAAATACTTTTTTTTTTTTTTGGGAAGCATCTAATCTAATCACGTTTTTTTTTGTTTTTGTTTTTGTTTTTGTTTCTGTTTTTTTTTTAAGCATCTAACCACGCAACGCCCCATGCCTACTTACAGACGATGACGATGATAGTTTTCCCTTTACCAGCTGGAAAAAGTGTCTTTCCAACCAAGATCAACACTCGCATCGCACCTCCCCTCCCCTACTTTGTATATATCGCAGCGAATTCGGGAATCTTACTGTGAAGGGATCTGTGATATTTTGGTGGGAGATTTTTTTGAGTTTTTTTTTTTTTCTCTGGCTTTTCCAAAATTTTTCTAGAAAGAATTTCTCTAAATTGAATTTTCTCTGGAAAGTTCAAAAAAATTCTTTGAATTGAATTTTCTCTGAATCGATGTTGAGGGACCCTAAACATTACGAAAATATTTAGTGTCTTTTATGCTATAAAATTTTAATATCGGAGACCTTAAAAAAAAATCTCCTAAACTTTATTATCTAAATTCGGTACCCAATGCTAAAAAAGTTCTCTGGTCTCAAAAAAACCATTAGGGACTATCACCTATGCTTGCCTTGAGGATTCATTTAGAAATGGATTATTTTAATTAATTTTTAAAAATATATAACTAGTAAATATTTTAATTTTTTAGACTATTATAGCCAAAACCCACCAAAATATAAAAATACTTTTTCTTTTTTTTGGGAAGCATCTAATCTAATCACGTTTTTTTTTGTTTTTGTTTTTGTTTTTGTTTCTGTTTTTTTTTTAAGCATCTAACCACGCAACGCCCCATGCCTACTTACAGACGATGACGATGATAGTTTTCCCTTTACCAGCTGGAAAAAGTGTCTTTCCAACCAAGATCAACACTCGCATCGCACCTCCCCTCCCCTACTTTGTATATATCGCAGCGAATTCGGGAATCTTACTGTGAAGGGATCTGTGATATTTTGGTGGGAGATTTTTTTGAGTTTTTTTTTTTTTAATAATGCGAATAGTTTATATTATAGGATTTGTTGAATTATATTATTTATACAAAAAAATTAAATTAATTAGAAATTTATAATCCCATGATTAGATTAAAATTGTTATACAAAAATTATCAGGATAATATTAACTGTTTATTTTTTAAAAATAAATGTGTTTTTATTATAAAGTTATAAATTTTTAATCAATTTAATTTTTTTTCATAAATGATCTATTTAACAAGCATTATAATATAAACGGCTCGTATCATAAATAAATAAATAAAAAAAAAAAAAAAAAAAAACTTTCACTGAAACACCACAGATCGCTGCTGTCCTTGGCAACTTGCAGAGAAAAATTATTCAGCAATCTGTGGTGAATAATTTTAAAATTATTCAGCGATCCCTTCTTTTTCTATTCAACAAACATTATAATATAGACTGTTCGTATTATTCACTGAAACACCACAGTTTTTTTGTTTTTTCTTCTCTCTCTCTCTTACAACCAAACAAACTAAGGCTAAGTTTGGGAAGACTAAATAAGTATACTTTTTGACTTTTAATGAAATATGGGTTGGATTTTGGTTAGGTTTAAAGTGATGTGTTAGAGAGGTGATGTGACTTAAATAAGATGATGTGACTTAAATAGGATAATGACTTTTTGACTTTTTAAATTTTTTGGAGGATGCCAAACTTGGCCAAGTTACCTGCTCCATTAATTAATGGGATCAACGGAAGTGATTATACAAATTATAAATATTAAAACTTCATAAATTATGTTATATTATAAATTAATATATTAGTTAGTACATTAATTGATACATATAGCATTATTCAATTGTAAAAGTATCTAGAATATTAGAAATGATACGAAAATAAATTTCTTTTTCATGTTTAATTTATCAAAAATGTTAGAAATTTCAAAAGTCTTATTAAAATTTTTACCAAATATCTCACATGAAATATGTGACTTACATAAATATGAGACTTACATAAAATCTACATAGTGTGAGTCTCACACCCATATGAGATATTTGGTAGAAGTTTTGATAGAACTTTTGGAGTCTCTAGTATTACTTAGTTTATAAATTTAGTGAGAGAAAATTTTTCATTAATCTATATTTCATTTCTTATTAAGAATGGTGAGATTTAGGAATTATTTGGCATTTTCTTAAATAGGTTTTTTTTTTAAATTTTTTTTTGAATTATATCAACGTTCTATTTTTTTACATTTTTTTGGGGTAAAAAATCAAAAAAATATATGTATTTATATCAACCTCAAATAATCCCTTAATGAGAAACAAATTAATTGATTGTGAAGTATTTATAGTAGTACCAAGATTGTCATTCTCACATGTTACCTCACCCATCCAAAATTAATATTAAAAAAACACAAATATTTCATATCGTCCCTTACCAATAAGAAAAGAAACATAAACATTTCATTCCTTTCTCACCCTCCTCCACTGATCCAAAGAGAGTGTTAGATTTCATATTAGAGCATTCTGGGGGGTTTTCATAAATTGAATAAAAAGAAATCAAATAATTAATTACAGAAATTAAAAGAGAGATGAAACAAACAATACTCTGTTTTCTTTAACAAGAATCTAGAGGGTGAGTTTAAGATCCAAGCCAGTTTCATCACATTGTTGATCTTCATTCTTGCGCTGTTGTTGTTGTTGTTGATGATTGCTGTTGATAGGATTAGGATTAGGATTTGAAAAGATCAGAGTTTTTCGATGATCATTGAAATCTTCCCATTCAAATGAGGGTACCCAACTCCTGGATTGCTCCTGACGACGATGATGATCTTGATCTGCTTTCCTCTTCTTAAGATTCTCGTTATTGTTGTTGTTGTTGTTGTTGTTTCGGATCTGCAATTGTTTCAATTCATTCCTCCGACGATCTCGAGCGTCCCGAAAGTTTCTAATCAGAGCAAAGAACTTGTCCATCTTTTCTTCATCCACATCCTCCTCCTCTGCCGCCTCACGACGATCATCATTGATTCTACCAATTTCCATGTTGTTGTTTTTTGACATTAACAACGACGAAAACGATTCTAATCTAACAAATTGAGAGAAACAAACAGATGAATTGCGTTACGTCTGCAATTTCTTCTCTCTCAGATATGTGTGTTTGTTTGCGTCTTCGAATTCTTCGACTGGTACTGAAGGGGAAGAATGAACTATTTGTAGCGTTGTTTTTGTTTGTGAGAAGACTGAAATACCCTTGCCGATTTGAACGCTGGTTTGCTTTGTGCATAAAGACGTGTTTGGAAATTGATTTTTTAAAAGGTTTTTATTTTTTATTTTTTATAAAAGTTTTTGTTAAGGAAACATTAAATGAGAATAACTACACTCAAAAAGAATAAAAAGTTTTAAGGCTATTTCAACTCAATAAATGTTTTTATAATGAGACCAAAATGTCTTTTTTTATTTTCTTTTCATTTTGTCTCTTGAAATCACAATTCTTACTTTTTGTATTCCTTTCTTTTTATTATTATTTTCTTTTCACCCACTCATCCATATGAAAGTAGACAACTATTTTTTGTTCACGATTGTGTTAGTTTTTTTTTTTTAATTTTTTGATGAAATTTTGATTTAAGTTTATCAAAATAAACTATTAATTTGATTGAATTTTTAGAATTTATTTTTTAGAAAAAATAAAAAATTAGTTTGATGAAAAAAATAATAAACACTCATTATTCTTATATAATTTTCTCTTTCTCAGGTAATTTTAAAATTTTAAAATATCCTTTTTTTTTATCAAACTAAATTTTAATTTTTAAAAATCAACCAAATATAAATATTTTGCAACTAAAAAGTTTTATTTTGCAATATAAGTATTTTTGAGGTGCTCATTGTGTTAGTATAGTTAAAAAAAAACATTATATATATTTTTTGTTTTAACACCATACTATTACACATAAATGAGAGTGGTTATTGGGTGTTATTGGAGTACGGTTACATGATACTCTAAGGTGTTGTAATTGATGGAGAAAATAGGACTCATAATTTTGTGTTGGGAAACATAAAGCAGTATGGTGTATGAGGCACGGTTTTGCTACAGTCGGCCAAGGTGCTGTGGCTTGCGATTGCTACGGTGTCTCCTCTCATGATAAGACACGTGTATTGTGGTCCATACCAGTAATGGTGTACATGAAAATAGGCGTTCTAATTGTTATCTCTCACTCTCTTTCCTAATTAAGTACTTTTCTGTGTGGTTCTCTCTCCCCTCATTCTTTTCTTATTTAATAGTTTTCTCTCTTTTCTTATTTTTATTTTTGGTGAAGCTTCTAATTGTTCTGACACTATCTACCAATTTGGTTTGCAAAGGAAATCCATAGATCAATGGGCTTCAGACCTTGATTGGCAAATGAACCTATCTGAGAAAAGGAAAGGAAAAATTCCCGTTGCTATTTATTATTCCAGAGACAACAAATTGATAATCAATTGAAAAAACTTGCCAATCAAATTGACAATTAGTTAATTATATGGCCCACAATACATGTGTCTTATGATGAGGGGAGACAACGCAGCAACTCGCAAGCGACAACACCTTGGTCAATTGTAGTAAAATTGCTCCTGGGGTGTTAAAATGGCCCTTGGGCCCCTAGGTCGCCCGAAACTTGTCCTCAGCTTAGGCGGGCTCGACTCGATTAAACTCAGGTCTGAGCCCAGTCCAGGACTTTGGGGCCTGAGCTTAGGCAGTGTGTTTTGGAGCTTAGTCTGCCTGGTTCGGCCCATCGGCTCGCTCAAAGTTTGACCCGAGACCTAATGTTATTTTTAATGCAAAAGAATAAAATTTTAGTTAAAAAAATAGGGAAAAAAAATGTTTAGACCCGCCAAGGCCCGCCGACCTACCTAAGGATCGAATAGCTTCTGGACTTGGACCTAATTTTTTGCCTTGTGGCTCGGATTAACCCAAATTTTGACGAGAGCCTGTGCAACTCAACATAAGTCTAGCGGGTCAAATTTACACCCCTACACTTGGTATTTACTGATTGGTTCTAGATCAGGAGCATTAAATAGTTTCTTCATAAAAGGAGTTACTTTTGTGGGCAAAAAATTAGTTTTTAAAAAATATTAAATTTAACATTTTTGTTTCACCTTTCTATAATTAGTTGTTAAAATTATTTATTATTTTCTTAACATGTATCTTAAGAATGCATGTTAACAAAATTCTTTTTAAAATATTTTTCTAAATTTTTATAACAATACTTGTAAAAATGAAAAGAATAATGTAATAAATTTGTAATGATTTTTCGATTTTTTTATCAAAAGCCAAAATTCCAAAACAAGACCAAAGGGTTTATTCGGGGGTGTTTCCGTAATTGCGCAGTGACGGTGGTGGTAAATTGGGTAATGGCTGGTGGGCGTCATTTATATTTGTTAAATGGGCTTTTACGTTACGTAATAATCGAAACGGATGGTCATAGTTGATCATGACGTATACACAGTGACATCATGTTCAGTTAATTGCCCTTCCATATGGGTTACCAAAGATTTCTCTCTCTCTCTCTCTCTCTCTCTCTCTCAATTGTTGACTTTTGGTGAATAGTGTTAACTTTTTAACTTTTTGAGTAACTTTTTGACTTTTTAGCTTTTTTGGAACATCCTAAACTTGGCTTAAGTCTTCCTTCATACTTTTTTATATTCTTTTTATGAGTTTTGATTCAAATTTATATTAATTATTCAAATTTTCTTTGAATCATTGATATAATCTCTTATTATTTTGACCAAATGGTCACCTTAATTAATCACACGTATAAGCTATTTAATGTGAAATCTTTAAAGAAAAAGAAAAACAGCTATTAATGTTTGGAAAACAATTCATTTCTTAATTTTGTTTTCCAATTCCCCTCTATGATGTGGAATTAGAGAGTGTGGAAACACTTAATACGGGTTTTAATCACGTCATTTGAGTGAAATTAGAGAAGATAAAATTAAGAGATTTAGCAGGACTGTTAATATTTTGGAATATGATATGGTTTGACAAATATTTTTTAATATATTTTTGAAAAAAAAATTTAAAAAACTTTTAAATTTTTAAGTCTTATTAGACCTGAAGACTCTAACTTATTTTAAAGTCCATGAAGACTCTTAACTTATTTTGCCTGTGTTTGGCAAGGGCTTTTTCAGGCTTTTTTGGCTATTTTAGCTACAAAAAACAAAATAGGCTATTTTAGCCATAACAAACAAAACATCACATCCAACCTATAATCATTACATTCTTCTCTCACAAAAAAAGTCAAAAAAGTCAAAAAGCCAAAAAGTCCTTCCCAAACTAAGCTTTTTAGCCCAGGCTAAAATAGCCAAAAAAGCCAAAAAGCCAAAAAGCCAACCCACTTCCCAAACGGAGGCTTTAAAGTCCATCAAAAACACCCTGGTGATCTCCTCATGGGGCGCTGCCTTGGACCTGCGGGAGGGTGGAAGGATTTCCCTATAATAAAAAAAAATAAAAACTATTATGCGCCAGAGAATATGATTAAAAGTTAATTTTTAATTTTTAATTTATTTTGAATTATATAACTTTGCTTGTTTTGAGTTTTTTAAAAATATTTTTCAGAAATTTCTACTTTTTTGTTTTCCTTATTTTTTTTTTTTTGTTTTTACTAAATTTTTATAATATTTTATGATTTTTTTAAAACATTTTTAGACACACCAAACATAAATATACTGAAAAGTATAATTTTTGTGAAAAAATCTTTAAAAAATTCACTAAATACCAAAAAAAAAAAAATGAAAATCCATTACATTTTTCGTATTTTTGTGTATTTATTAAATTTAAAATATTTTTTCACAAATATTTTTTACTTTTTAGACATATCTAAGTAAGATATATCTAAAAAGGTACAAAAAAAGAGTTAAAATTTTAAAAATATTTACTAAAAATAAAAAAATATAAAAAATAAAAACTCAATTTTCAAACAATTTAATTTAAAAAATTCAAACCAAACACATTAATTTAAAATTTTTCAATAGTTTTTAACTTTTTGGAGCCTTCTACGGTATAAAAAAAATATTATAACTTTTTAAAACCCTTTCCAAACAATGATGTTTCTATTAGTGTGGTGACGTAACTTTTGCATTAACGGTGATGTTATTTTTGCCAGCACCATTTTGTGCTTCAAGATTCTCTAGAGTAAAAAGTCTAGAGTGATGTCTTAAAGTGAGAGATTCAACGGCTAAAAATAAAATTAATTAAAATGATGTCGTTTTGATTAATAAGTTGAAAAAAAAAAAACGACGTAGTTTTATTTTCAGTCGTTGGATCTCCTCACTCTAGGAGATCACTCTAGGCTTATTACTCCAGAGGATCTTGACGCCCGTTTTGTAGCTCGAAAGATCGAGGCTCGAGTTGGTCCGAGTTCTTTCTACACGCACCCCTATTTCTTTGTACAGATCATCAGTGTTAGAATACAAAACTCAGACATTTCAGTTGAAATAAAAAAGAAAAAGAAAAAGAAAAAAGAATAGAGTAGAGAGAGAGAGAAAGAGAAGACCCATTAGCGCTGACGAGGCAGTGTGTGCGAAAGGGTGCCGCCGACGAGGCTGCTATTGCTTCTACTAGTACCAACGGGTGCTGCCGCTGCTGCTGTGTGCGCCGAAAGGTGTCGTCGTTGCTCCTTGATTCATGCTACTTATGATAATTTTTATGTTGCTTATGATTCATGCTACTTATAATTCATGCTCCTTGACCCATTAGTTGGTTTTGTTTTTTATTTAGGATTTTGCATTGGGTGATTAAGGATTGATGGCAGAAATGGATCACAAGCCCCAAAAATATGTTCTTTGAATATATTCTGGGCATTGGGTGAATATATATGTTTGACAAATATATATGTTCTTGGCATTGAATATATTTTGGGCATTGAATATGTTCTTTGAATATATATGTTTCTAAGCATTGGGTGAATATGTTATGCAAAAATCTGCTATGTGGAAATATGAATAATATGTTATAGCTCAAAAAATAAAAATAATTCAGAGGATGGCTGGTCATACTCATATGATTTTTGCACACACTGTTGATGAAATATGCCGAATCTTCTGTTAATAAGGAACATTGTGTGTGCAAAAATCTGTTAGACCCTATGTTTTTAAATTTTCATAACTCATTGATTAATCCATGACAAATGACTGAAAATATATGTGGTGAACTTCATGTTAAATAAT